CTGGCGTTATCTTGGCTTAGTTTTTGCCAGCTTTCCTTAACTTATTTCAATTACCTTTTACCTCTGGACTTCTCCTGTTCTCTAACTTCTGTAAATCTTACTTTTTTCTTTCTTTCTTTCTTTCTTTCTTTCTTTCTTTCTTTCTTTCTTTCTTTCTTTCTTTCTTTCTTTCTTTCTTTCTTTCTTTCTTTCTTCTTTTTCTAAGACAAATCTCGGTCCAGGCTAGCCTCACACTTGCTGTTACTTCCATGGCTGGCCTGATTGTTCTCTCTCCATTCCAAGCACTACAATTACAGGCATATGCAGCTACCAGTTTTTTCTTTCATTTTTAGTGGGGAGGTTAAGACAGGATCTTGCTATGTAGTTCAGGCTGGGTTGGAACTCACTATATAGATCATATTGGTCTGGAATTCATAACCTTCCTGCCTCAGTTTGCCAAGTACTGGAATTACAGACGTTCACCACCACTCCCAGTTTATTCTTATACCTGTCATCACTGGAGAACAGTAGAGAGCCGGCATGATAGTGTTATTCTCATGTTTAATCCCAGCAGCATTCAGAAGGCAGAGGCAGGCAGATCTCTGGGAGTTCAAGGCCAGCCTGGTCCACATAGTGAGTTCCCAGCAGCTCATGCTAGATAGATAGAAACCCCGAGAAAGTTAGTGGGATGTAGTGGCAAACACATCCAGCACTCCACTTGGACGGTGAAGCAGGAAAATTGTTCAAACTTTGAGGCCCATAAGAAGAAAGAGAAGAGAGGAGAGGAGCAGAGAATAGACTCTGCCAAGGTCCCTATATGGCCTTGGGTGTGTTCCTTTTTCTTTCTGATAAAGCACTTGCTAGTAAGAGAGGGTCTGAAAACCCCTTCACCTCCCTCTTTCTCTTACCTCCTATAGAAGCGATGGCAGAACGAGAAGTTTGGGGTGGACATTCCAGATGACTATGAAGATGAAAATCTTTATGAGGTGAGCACTGATTGGGGCTGCATGGGGAGAGGGATGTCTGCAGTGGGTCCCACTCCGGGGTTGACTGGGAACAGGGACCCCAGCTGCCAGGCTACTGATGTCTACTCTCTGTCCTCTGCAGGGCCTGAATCTTGATGACTGCTCTATGTATGAGGACATCTCCAGGGGACTCCAGGGCACCTACCAGGATGTGGGCAGTCTCAACATTGGAGATGTCCAACTGGAGAAGCCATGACTGACCCTTCCCATCCCCCATCCTGCTGTGCTGCCTGTCCATCCCTGCCTGGCAGCTCTTCCCCTGGAGTCCCCCTTTCCCAGTCTTTGTCCCTCTGGAGTGTCTCACCCTTGCCTCCATACTGCCCCACCCTACTCTCCCACCTAATCTTGTCCCTTCCCCAAGTCTGTCCCGGGTTCCCTCTCCAGTGGGTAATGAGCCCTTAATCGCTGCCTCTAGGGGAGCTGATTACAGCCGCCTCGTTAGTGTCGCCCCCTCCTCCCAGATCTGTCATGGCCACTTAAGTGCTAATAAATCCTTCCCAAAGCAGCCCTTGGCAGGAGTCATGGATCTCGTGAGGACTGCTCCTCAACATTGCCAGGGGAGCAGGAAGCCCAAGCAAGTCGCCTTCCTCCCTCAGACTTAGGGTTCTGGACCCAAGTTCTCACCTGCCCACTTTTGAGATCTGGGACTAAACAGCCAGTCTTGGCTCCCTCCCACCCCTCCAAGAAACAGGAAGTCTCTTGGGGAAGTCCCCACCCCAATTGAAGGTCTGGTTTAGCTCTTTTATGGGGCCTCACCCTCCCCGTGTCCCTAAGCAAGGGGAACCAGCAGGGGGTGTTACCAAATCATTATGCTTATTTAAGCTCTGAAAACACACGGTATTATTTCCTGGCTCGGGACCTAATTCCCTCGTGGGTTCACTTGCACAGGCAGATGTACCGAGTTTCTGTCAAGAACTTGGGGATGGTGGAGAGATGCAGAGAGGTGTGACACAGGGTCACTGAGATGGGAAAAGCAGACACAGAAAGGTGGTTAAGGACACGAGTCAGGCAAAGAGGAGACGCGGGGAATCCCCAGAGGCAGGAATAGAGATACGGAGAAGGCAAGTCGAGAAGCAGACGTGAACTGGCTGGCCAGTGAGCCTGAGCCTGAGGGAAACCAGCAGTTGGGGAAAAGGCAAAGCCTGAGGTCTCCAAGGACGAGAGAGACCCAGCGGCAAGAAAAGGGCGCAAAGTGATCAAAGGCACAGAGGAGCTGCAACAGGGTGCAAAAGATGCAGAGACCAGGGAGAACAGCTTCCGGGGAAAGTGCTGTATGGAGAGTGTGGGGTCACAGACAGTGAAGCTGCCGTGCGTGCGTGCAAGCTTTGACACGGTGGTGCACGCCTTTAAACATTAACCTCTGCGTTTCCGGCGGCAAAGGGAGGCGGACCTCTGTGAGTTCGAGGGCAGCCTGGTCCGCAGAGAGAGTTCGAGGCCGGCAAGAGCTACATAGTGAGGCCTTGTCTCAAACTCAGAAGAGGAAGAAAAGAGGAAGGGTCAGGGCAGGAGCTGGGCAGCAGCAGGGCAGGAGGCAGTGGAGGACAAAGGCGAAGGGGAGCCGGGCGGGGCCGGGTGGGGCCGCACCCGCGGGGAAAGGAGGAGCCCCACGCGGGCGGGCGGGCGGGCGGGCGAGAAGGGGAAGGAAGCCGAGGTGCCGGGCGGGCACGGGGCGCCGGCAGGAAGCGGGGAGGGGCGGCGGGCGGGGGCTCCGGAAAAACGCCCCGACTTCCTGCCCGCTGGAGCCAGGAAGCGGGAGCCGGGACGCCGGGCCCAGGATCGCCGAGCCCGACCTCGGGCGCCCCGCCGGTCACCTCCCCGCGCGGACACCAGGTACATCGTCCCTGGCCCCGCCCGGCATCCTCCCCCTCGGCCGCCGGGGGAAGTGAGGAGGAGCAGGGAGGGGACCCGGCGCCGAGGGCCTCCGGAGGGAGGGGGGGCAGTGAGCCTGCAACCTCCCTTCCTCGGGCCTCAGTTTTCTCATCTGTCAAAGAGAGCAAAGAGAAAACCCGGCGTGGGGGCGCACGCCTGTCATCCCAGAACTTGGGAAGCAGAGACAGGAGGATTACCATGAGTTCGAGGCCAACCTGAGCAACCTAGCGTGGAGATGAACTAGGTCGGGATCCAGGCTGCCACCTATTCAGCGCAGTTCAGAACAATAACACCCGTTTATCAGTGAGGAAACTGAGGCCCAGGGAGTCATAGGGACTTACACTCTAAGTAAGATAGCAGCTGGGATTTGAACTCGAAGCTGCTTGCTGTTAAGCGCTGCCCCTGTAATCATGGATGCTAGATTAGAAGTACCTAAAATGAACAGGATCTCTGTGGGCCATTAGGAAGCCGAGAGTTACAGAGCGATGAAAACGTCTCAGAAAGCTCCCCCCACCCCCCGGTTATTAATTATACTCTGGGAGATGGCTGTATGGGAGAGAACCGGAAACATATCCTTATTAAACATTTGGGAAGACTGAGGCCTAAAGGGAAGTCATGTTTTTTTTGTAGGTTCATTAGTCTATCAGGGGGAATGATATAGTCGAGCGCATGGGTGTTTTGGTTTTGGTTTGATGGTGTTTTTTGTTTTGTTTTGTTGTCCAATTACATTGGGAGGAGTTGGCAGGGGTGACCGAGGGAGCCGGTATACAAGCGTGGGGAACTTAGTAGGTCCGGGTTGTGGAGGTAGGCAAGGTGGGCAGACTCCCTGCGAGGTCCGAGTCGGTTCCTGGGACCTGAGCGACTTGGAGATCTGAGATTGAGCTCTAACCCAGCGCTGGAACTATCCACCACTCCCGCAGAGGAGGCGGGGCCCAGGAGAGTGACAGGGGCAGTCGAGATCCGGAAACGCCGGCCCTCCGAGACAGGCCAGAGTGGCCTCATCGGGCCAGCGTGGCTCAGTGGAGAGCTAGAGCGGCCGGCCAGGAGGAGTAGAGTTGCCGAGGCCGGAGAGTGGCAGGAGGCGGGCTAGAGCGGCCAGAGGGAGGAGTGGAGCTGGGCGCAAAGGTGGCCTCTGGCTCTGATAGAGCGACTCTGCGGCGCGGGTGGGGGAACCTCGAGCTCGGGCGCGGAGGCTCCGGTTCCGGAGGCTGCAGTGGCTTCTCATCTCATCCGACAGGTGAGATCCGCAGCCTTGGCTGCCGTCAAACCTGACCCTGCACGTCTTCCCTGCCATCCACATTGCCACAATCGCTGTAGGTCTGAGCGCCTGTGTAGATCAGCCACGTCCCGTGCAAGATTTAGGGCTCGTGAAGACCCGCCACGTTACATAGGTTATAAAATCTTACATACCCTTCAGGTTTCAGGAATCCTTTCGCGGAATCCCAGCTTTTAATAAACATGGGTTTCTCATAGGTCAAGCTAGGGCCCTACAGAACCCACTACACACCCCTATCGAGGTCCCGTAAACCATTATTTTTCTCGTTAGAATCATCATCTATCTGGATTCTTGAGGCCCACTATATCAAATAGAATCTGGGGTCATACTCATTCCAGGATCCTCTTTTGGGTTTTTCAAGGCTCCTAGAGGTTCTTGGGGACCTGGATAATCCAATCGAAAGGCTTGGGGACCCTGAGCCCTTAGAACCCAGGCGTCCTTGTGTGCTCCAGGACCCCCCCACTGCATAAACCTAAATCTGCCCTGACTCCCCTCCACCCTCCACCCCAGAGCCTCCAGTGCAAAGTGCTTCATCTATTGGACAAAGTAGTAGGTAGACATTGTTAGTTGTCTGTACAGTCTCATTTTGCCAGCTTTATCTGTATCTTAATTTTCAAACCCTCCCGCTCTGATCCCAGGCTTCTGGAACTGCTGGGTCTATTCTGGGTGACTGCTGAGGCCGCAGCAGCCACATGGCTTTCCCAGGTACCATTAGAACTGGTGTGTCTCAGAGCATTGATGCAGATTTTAGTATCCCAAGGGTGATGGGGGGTGGGGGAGGGGGCATCCCTCAAAGCAGTATAGTGTGCTGAACGTTTAAACTGTGGAACCAGACTGCCTGAATCTGAATCCTAGCAAGCCATGCCTCAATTTCCCCCTCTATAAATGGCAATAAGAATAATAACGACCCCTAGATAAAACAAATCAAAATAATGCTGGCCTCATTGGGTCAGTAAGAGGATTAAATGCGTTAACACCTGTAGACAGAGCCTGATCCCTGAACAGACCTAGGTGTGTGTGTGTGCCAGCTTTGCTGTGTCTGGCACATACTGAGAACACCTCAGACATCAGTTGTTCCATGCTATTGTGATGAGAAAGGCAGAGATAATGCATATTAACTGCGTGAGAATCAGGGTCTTGTAGTGAACATTTGTTCAAATTGTGTACCTTCTTTGGGTTCTCTTTTGGGGGAGTGAGTTAATCAAGACATTTTTTAAAATTTTTTTTTAAGATTTATTTATTATGCATACAGAAAAGGTGCCAGATTTCATTACAGATGGTTGTGAGCCACCATGTGGGTGCTGGGAATTGAACTCAGGACCTATGGAAGAGCAGTTGGTGCTCTTAACCTCTGAGCCATCTCTCCAGCCCAGGACATTTTAATAAAGACTTAAGCATGAGAGGTAAGGGGCCATTTGAAAGACACATGGGAGAGCCGGTCTAGTGGCACACATCTTTGATCTCAGCACTGGGGAGGCAGAGGCAGGCAGATCTCTGAGTTTGAGGCCAGCCTGGTCTACAGAGAGCATTCCAGGACAGCCAGGGCTACACAGAGAAACCCTGTCTCAGGAAAGAAAAGAAGAAAGAAAGAAAGAAAGATGGGCTGGAGAGATGGCTTAGAGGTTAAGATCAAGCACTGGCTGTTCTTCTAGAGGTCCTGAGTTCAGTTCTCAGCAACCACATAGTGGCTCACAACTGTCTATAATGAGATCTGATCCTCTCTTTCTGGTCTGCAGGCATACATGCAGGCAGAACACTGTATACATGCGTAATAAATCTTAAAAAAAAAAAAAAAAAAAGAAAGAAAGAAAGACATGTGAGAAGATGGATGTGGGTCTAAGAGAAATGGGTTTGGGCTTTTGTTTTTTTGGGTTTTTTTTTTTTTTTGGTTGATCTGGTTGCTCTGTTTGGTGCTGCTGGGGGTAGAACTCAAGGCCTCTTACATGCCAAACAAGCATTCTGTCATTGAGCTACACGCTCAAACCTTCCTTGGCTCCTTTGGGATCTCTCAGCTGAACATATTTACTGCTAAGTGGTATGAGCATGGGCGTTCCAGGTCTGTGCTTATGGCTTCCAGCCTAGAAGGTCTGGCTGGCAACGGTGGTCTTTGAGCCATCAGTTTCCCAGAGCGATAAGCATAGCATGGGATGCTTGTAGTCGGGGAGTTAATGGAATTGATAGAGCTGGACACAGTGCTTCACACCTATAGTACCAGAACTTGAGAGACCAAGACAGGGGGATGGCCTCAAGTGTGATTCCAGTCTTCAGAGTGAGAGCCTGTCTTGAAGAAAGAAAAGAAAAACCTGAGTTAATATAGGCCTGGAACAACTCTTTAAGTGTTTGAGGAGTTTAGCTCTCGTAATAACTACTATTACTTTGCTCTCTTGGTTTGCAAGTTTATTAACACTCAGCAATGTTCTTGAAATTACCCAAGCTTTTATGATGGACAGATACAGTTTCTGAAACAGAATACAAATAATGCCTGCTTGGGCGAACCCCCAAGGATGACTTCTGGGCACTCCAGGAAACATCACTGTTCAGAAATCAGAATCATAGCTACGGCTTACTGAGTGCTAGGGAGGAAGCCCATGGAAGAGGGAGAAGGGTGGGTCTCAGGCAGCCAGAGTTATAAATAGCTTTGGGGTATGAGGACCCGCCCCCGTCACTGGTCCACCCCACCCCTCTTTCCACAGCGCCTTCCCTCCTGACATCATCCACACAGCATTAGTCAGACCAATTAGGGTCTAGAAGATGCTGCTGGAGAAACCTGGGAGAAGATGGAAAAGACAAACAGATAGGGCAGACAAGGGATGGAGAAAGATGAGACACCACAGTGGGAGGCTGGAGCTGGACCGAACCCACACCAGCTGCGGAAGGACAGCTGTACAGAGACGGGGGAGGGGCAGCAGGGAGTCAGAGGGGGGCAGGCACAAGTGGTGGGAAGGATGAGACAGGTCTGGGAGGAGAGGTGGAGACACAGACTCCGGGGAACCACTACCACATTGGATTGAAAGGGGCGGCACACACCTGAGAGGGGGCTGTTGAGGCCCTCCTCCCGTCAGGTTTCTGGGACAATAGATGGGAAAGCCGGGAACCCCGGGGCTCCAGAGCTCAAGGGGCCTGACAGAAGACGACTCGGTTTTGTTTTCTTGTGTAGAGGGAGTTGGAGGTTGGGGGTTCACCATTGTTACTTCCTGTCACAGGAAATGGGGCTGGTGGGTTCAGAGGCTACATCCTGGCGCAGGCCTGCCACAGATCTGAGGATAGCCCCTACACACACACTCTTCCTACACCCTCCTTAAGGACCTTTCCATTAATTTTGCTTGTCCCAATGTCCTGCCCGCTTAGGGACTAGCCAGCCCCCTGGATTCCTGGTCCTTCCTTCTTTAGTGACCCAGATTGGTGGCTTTTACCCACAGCCACCCAGCCCACCCATGGACCTATGCTCTGAGCTCCAGCACCGCCCCCCAACCCCCCATCTCTGCCCTTGGTCTCCCCGCCTCAGCTGGCTTGTGAAGGACTCTTTGTGGCCACACAGAGGCTCCATTGAGCTAAGGAGGCTGGGGGTGGGGGTGGGGGGTGTTTACTCACCTTCCACACCTGGGCCAGGAATCTGTGAGTAACTACCCAGCCTCAGGCACGTCCTCCTCCCGCCCCTAACCGCTGCTCCTCCTCCTCTCTGCAGCCCTGTGGAGTCCCGGAGATGGAAGAATTCACCAGAGGGGCGGTGAGTGCAGTGCAGAGAGGAGAGCTGAGCTAAGGTGAGGGGGCCCTGGTGCTCTGTGTGGTGGGGAGCCCTGTGGATTGAAGTCATGTCCTCCCCTTGCAGGCCCCAGGGCCTCCCCGGCCTGGCCTGATGTCCATCAGCATCATCGGGGCTGAGGATGAGGATTTTGAGAATGAGCTGGAGGCGGTGAGCAGGATAGGGTGGGGAGGTGTCCACCAAGGGACCAGGTCTCTGCCCTTTGACGTGCCCCTCTCTGCTCTGTCTGTCATTTTGTCATCTTCCCACCCCGTAGTGAGTGTCACCATCCATCTTCGACTCCCATCCCTTCTCACAACATCACACTCACCCCTTTCCTCCCAACTACCTGCCCTTACTGTCAGGGATGTAGTGTAGACATATCCACCCCCACTTCCCAGGGTCTTCCCTGTCTCGGAGCCATTGAGAGGTGCCAGGGACCGGGTAGGGCAAGCCTAAGATGCCTGTTCTTTCCCTGTGGTACTCAGCTCCCTTGTCTCCACCCTCCAGAACTCAGAAGATCAAAACAGCCAGTTCCAGAGCCTGGAGCATGTCAAGCGACGCCCAGCCCACCTCATGGCCCTCCTGCAGCATGTGGCCCTGCAGTTCGAGCCAGGACCCCTGGTAAGGATACAGGGGGAGGCGTGAGGGACAGAGGAGGAATGAGGTTGAGCAGACCATAGACCAGTGAGGGTCAGCTTAGAGGCTCTGGAAAATCCATAACACAGCATGAGTTTGAGAAATTGGACCACAGACAAGATGGAGAAAGCAGGCATGTGATCTTGACAGGCTCGCAGGTGTCCTGGTGAGCCTCAGTAAGCAGTGAGCCCAGGCGTGAGTATACACAGTAGGAGTCAGTGGAACCCAACATCCTGGCAGAAACCATGTCCTGTCCCCTACTAGGCCTGTGGCAGCGTCTCTAACTGGTAACACTGCCACTCACCCAGGGGGCCTCAGAGGGGTACCCAGCGAGGCCCTCTCAGTGTGTGTCATTAGTCAGGCATTTGGTGCTGTTAGCCATCCCAGACCTGGAGCGCACCGCAGACCTTGATCCAAATACCCAGGCAAACCCTCTGTGGTTGCTAACCTAAAACACTTCCTGAGCCTAGCGTGACACCTATGATCCTAACATGTGGAAGGCTGAGGCAGGAGGATTACCATACCTTCATGGTCAGCTAATTCTACATGGCAAGACCTGGCTTCAAATAAAAGAAACTCCCAGGGCTAGGCAGAAGATACTGGAAGATGCAGATATAGAACCATGCGGTCCAGAAACACCTGTAGAATAGAAAACCCCAGCCCCCGATTTAGCAGAAGCCACAGCACTGGTGGGGGTAGGTGGGGAATGGGTCTTATTAGGTGGGGGGCGGGGGGCCAGGTCCTTTCCTAGGAAGACTCAGTAGCACCCAGCACAAGCCACTTGCCCAGACTGAAGATGCACTGTGGCTCCCCCAGAAAACTAGGAGACTAAAAGAATGGACTGGGATACCCAGGGGTGAAGAGAGAAGGGTATGCCAGATGTAGCTCAGTTGGTAGAATACACGATTAGCCAGCACAGAGCCCTGGGTTTTAGCCTCCGCACCACATAAAACAAACAGTGATCCAGGCCTGTAATCCCAGCTCTCAGTAGGAGAAGGGAAAAGGATCAGGAATTCAAGGTTATCCTCAGCTGCATCACAAGTATGAGGCCAGCCTGGGCTACATGAGACCTTGTCTCAAGACCAAAAGACGTGAACTGCAAGTCCTGATACCAAGCTTTAGAAAATTGAGAAATTGATACACTCTCCCCCATCTACATCCTTCAGAAAAGCAGCTGCCTCTCCCCAGGCACATGGACGCTGTCCCCTGCCTAAGTGTTTCTGATCCTAGACCTTACTTAACTCAAGGACTGTGCTAGCTGCTCTGTCTTATGGATGTGGAAACTGAAGTAACCCAGATGGCACTGTAAGAGTTGTCTTTATGCAGTTTCTGCTCCCCACCATATTTTGGGGGTGGGGATGAGGAGAATAAACATAGGTCTTTTGAAGCTAATAAATATAAAAAGTTCTACCTGCACTGGAGTGAGTCCTTAAACACATGTAAGGACATGTCACCTGCACCCCAGGCAGCACCTGTGGGATCCAGGACAGGCAGAGTCCTTCTGCATTTTCAGGGTCACCCATCCAAGGCTGGCATACCAGCAACCTGAGGAGATACCTGGCATGAATGAGGGAGCCTCACCTGTCCACTTACTTATCTGTTTGTCCAGCTCTCACTGTGCACTGCCCCTGAGCACACTGGAATCAGAACCTGCTCTGTACCCCAGACAGACTGCTCACAGTGTTTATAGACAGAGACAAGCTGCCTGCGTTTGAATCCAACTTTACCATTGTAACACTGAGCAGGCCTATTTATTTATTGTTGGTATTGAGTGTTGAACCCAGGGCCTTAGCTGTCCTAGGCAAGCACTCTACCCCAAGCCCTTGTTATTTTTATTTTAAATTTTTTTAATGTAATATGTGGTCTATATATGTGTTCATATGAGTATGTGCGTGCGTGCGTGCGTGCGTGCGTGCGTGCGTGCGTGCGTGCGTGCGTGCGTGCGTGTACATGTGTCGTGTAGAGGCCAGTCAGCACTGGGTATCTTTCCTTGATCTCTCTTTACCTTTCTCCTTTTTAAATCCCACCCACCCACCCCCACCCCGAGACAGGGCTTCTCTGTATAGCCCTGGCTGTCCTGGAACTCACTTTGTAGACCAGGCTGGCCTTGAATTTACTGAGATCCACCTGCCTCTACATCCCGTGTGCTGGGATTAAAGGCATGTGCCACTACCTCCTGGCTTTATTTATTTATTTTTTTTTAAGATTTATTTATCATAATACAGTGTTCAGTCTGCATGTATTCCTGCAGGCCAGAAGAGGGCACCAGATCTCATTACAGATGGCTGTGAGCCACCATGTGGATGCTGGGAATTGAACTCAGGACCTCTGGAAGAATAGCTAGAGCTCTTAACCTCTGAGCCATCTCTCCAGCCCCCTTTATTTGGTTTTTTTTGAGACAGAGTCTTTCTAATATGTAGGTCTGGCTGTCCTGTAACTCACTATGTAGATCAGGCTGGCCTTGAACTCACAGAGATCCTCCTGCCTTTGCCTCCCAAAATGTTGGGATAAAAGGCCTGTGCTACCACATTCAGCTCTTTTTTAAATTTTTATTACATTTTAATTTATTTTGTGTATGGACATATGTGTGGGTGTGGGTGTGAGGTACATGCATGCCATAGCATATGTATGGCGGTCAGAGGACAATTTCCAGGAGTCACTTCTGTCTTTCTACTATTCATTTCCCAGGGATTGACCCCCCCCCCCATCATGCTTGGTAGTAGGCACCACTGAGCCACCTCTCTGGTCTCGTGATCGGGGAGCTCATCTGTTTGACAAGGCTGCTGAGCTGTGAGCTCCTGGAACCCGACCCCAGAGATTGCGGGCACAGGCTGCCAAGCTTGGTTTTTATGTAGGAGCTAGAGATGCAGACTCGGTGCTCACGATATCCGTGATGCCTGTGCTTCCCTCCGGAACCCTCTCTGCAGCCCCTCCCCTGGTTTGCTCAAGACCATCTCAAACGGAACCCAGGCTGGCCTTGAATGCAGTGGTCCTCCTGCTTCCGTTTCCAGAACGATGGGATATGTGAGCGACGCTGGCTTTTCCTTGTATTTTGAGATTGTTTTCTCTCTTTCCTTTTGGTGGTGGTGTTTTGTTTTTTGGGACAGGGACCTTGATCTCCTGGTCTTCCTGCCTGATCTCTCCAGACTGGGATTGCAGGCCTGTGCCAACACACTCAGCTTTGAACTTCCATTTTCCCACTTTTTTTTTTTTTTTTTGGTTTTTCTAATTAGCGTTATTTTAGGCAGTCAGGGTCTATAGCCGGGCCTCACACTCACTATGTGTTCAAGGATGACCTCCAACTCCTGATCCTCCCGCTTCTACCTGGAAAGTGATAGGATTATAGTCATGCACTGCTCTGCCTGGGTTCAGTGTTCCCTACAAAATGGTGATAGTGGTGGTCTGATGGGACAGGTTCCTACATGTGTATATGTGTATGAAGGGCTCAGCGTGGCCTCTGGTGTACCCCACATCCTCAGAATAGCTAGTAGTAAGAATTGTAAAGGGAAAAGGAAGACTTCATAGCAGTGATCCTGGGGAGTGGGCAAGGGAGATGGGCCCAGGCAGTTGGGGTAGCGGTCAGGGTGCACTTCGCAGAGGAGGTCAGAAAACCACTTAGTCTCTCCAAAGAGGGAGTGCGGTTGTGGGGCCAGGAAAGAGAGTCACAGTGTGTGTCTCCCCAGCTCTGCTGCCTGCATGCGGATATGCTGAGCTCACTGGGCCCCAAAGAAGCCAAGAAGGCCTTCCTTGACTTCTATCATAGCTTCCTGGACAAGACTGCGGTGAGAGACATCTTCCTGCTGTCCTGTCCCTTACCCCCTTTTTAGCTCTGGAGAGTCATGATGTGCCTCCCAGTGTCCACCTATGGAGGTGACCGCCAACCTGGTGTTTTCCCTCAGACCTCCCCAGTGTTTTCCCTCAGACCCTTCCCACCAAGGCCTCCTGGGGTGCACCTCCCACCACCTCACCCCTGTCTCCTCTGAGCAGGTTCTCCGGGTGCCGGTCCCTCCTAACGTCGCTTTTGAACTTGGTAAGAAGAGGGGTCTGGGGATAAGGGAGGGTCTGTGGCAGGGATGTGCCTCCCAGGAGACCCCTGGGACAGAAGCCATGAGTCACTCATTCATTCTCGGTGGCAGCAGCCCAGGGAAACATTGGAATCCATGGGTGGGTGGGAACAGTGACCCGAGATGGGAGCCAGGCCCTGGAACATGGTTACTAGCCCTTGCATGCATGTCTGTAGACCGCACACGGCCTGACCTCCTCTCTGAGGATGTCCAGAGGCGGTTCATGCAAGAAGTGGTACAGAGCCAGCAGGCAGCCGTGAGCCGGCAGCTGGAGGACTTCCGCTCCAAGAGGCTCATGGGCATGACACCCTGGGAGCAGGAGCTGAGCCTGCTGGAGCCCTGGATCGGGAAAGACCGAGGCAACTATGAAGCCCGGGAGCGGCATGTTGCAGAACGGCTGCTCTCCCACCTGGAAGAAATGCAGTGAGTGGGAGTCAGGCATCTCCCTCGGGTCAGCCTTAGTGTCTGTATTCTGGCCCCACCTGGAGTTTTCATTTACCTGACTCTTATAACTTTGGGGTCCCATTGGAGTTTCTGGGTCTTGTCCATGGTCACATGTTCAGACCTAGCACTTGTATCCTCTGGAATGGACCTTCCAAGGCCCTCCTAGGCCGTTTGTCTTTTTTCTCCTTACCCTGTTTTCTAAAGAGGTAGCAGCCTAGAAGTGTTTCCCGGTGGACAGGGAAGCCAGGCTTCATGGTTTTAATGTAAATGTCTTTCTTTTCTCTGCAGACATACCATCTCTACAGATGAAGAAAAGAGGTGATGGCCGTGGAGAGTTGGGGGAAGGAAAGGCAGATGGCCCCTGGAGCAGCACCCTTGTCCCTGGCTTTGCGAGCCACCCCTTTCCTGTAACCACAGGAAGTGGCTGAGGGGTTGTGGGGCACTGTGTCCTTTGTCTCTGGGGACACAGCGTGCTCCTGTGTACCAGTCACGGGGGGCCTCACCTCGCTGTCTCCTTCCCTCAGTGCCGCTGTGGTCACTGCCATCAGCCTGTATATGCGCCACCTTGGGGTTCGGACCAAGAGTGGGGACAAGAAGTCAGGGAGGAACTTCTTCCGGAAAAAGGTGCTGAGGTTAAGTCTGGCCCCCTCCTCTCTGGGAATGCCCCTGGGGAAGCCTAGAGACGACTGGACACCTGGAGTCACTTTTTGCTTTGTGTCATTTTGGAAATGTTAGCCTTCCCTTTCCTCATCCTCCCACAGGTGATGGGGAATCGGCGGTCAGACGAGCCCCCCAAGACAAAGAAAGGGCTGAGTAGTATCCTAGATCCTACTCGTTGGAACCGAGGAGAGCCACCTGGTAAGAGGGCTAGCCTCAGCCTTGCATAATCTGTTGGTCTCAGACCACCCCAGCTCACTGCCCCACTCTTTTGTTTCAGCTTCAGATTTTCGACATCTAAAGGTCGAGGTTGATGGTAATGGACTTGTAGCTAGGGTATCCATCCTGGGTCTGGGGGTTGGGGGTTGGGTCCTGGATCCCTGGGTCTGAGGAAGGGTGGGTCCTGGATGCCTGGGTCTGAGGGAGAAGATTGTATGTAGGGAGCTCCTGAACCTTGAGTAAGGAGGGAGGCGTCTCCTGTGGTGAGGAAGAAGGTTAAGAACGGTATCTTAGTTCCCCTGGGGTATAGTAGCAGATGGGATTAGGAACATCTTTTTTTTCTCATTTTCCCTTTCTTCCTTGCTGTCTCCCCAGCAGAGAAGCCAGGCCCTCCAGACCGGAAGGGAGGCCTGGGTATGCCTTCTCGAGACAGGACTGTTGGGACTCCTGGGCAGGACAACCCAGGAATCTCTCTGCACCCTCTGTCTGTGGACAGCCCCGACCACCGGGAACCAGGTGAGCGTTTCTAAGTCAGGACAGGAATGCCACCAGCCCCTCAGCCCTCACTCAGATGGAAATCTCTGTCCCCTTTGGGATCTCTCCTTTGTTCTTAGCATCTTTTCCCAGCTCCTGGCCAGGAGTAGTGATTGCCCCCGCCTCAGTTTCCCCTTTCCATAGCTTTCTTCTTGGGTTCTGACCTCTGTCCCCGAACTAGGTTTTTTGTTTTGTTTTGTTTTTTCAACACCGGGAATTGAAACTCTTGCCTTACAGCTTCTAGGCAAGCTGTCTGCCCCTGAGCCGTGCCCCTGGCCCTCCCTGGTGGGTTCTAGGCACGCGCTGTGTCGATGAGCCATGTCCCTCCTAACCCTACAGTCACACTGTCGCCATCAGTCCCAGGGTTCCATTTCCAAGCACCTGAGTGAGGCTTGCCCACCCTCCAGATTAAGTTCATGTCCTCTTGGATAGTGAACCCTAGTGCCCCGTGAATTTACTCTCTCCTTCTCCCTGGAGCTCCAAGTCTGTCTTATCTGAGCCCCTTAGAGCCCAGAAGCTTGTCTAGCCTGGGTTCAAATCCCTCCTGCAGCTTACTGTGCTGTGTTGTGGAAACCGCTCCCCTCTCAGGAGTCAGCGGGAGACAGTCCCCTCCCGCCTCTGGGGAGACTGCGGTCTAGTAGGGTGGCTCGAACAGAGGCACCCTAGTTCTGTGACAACTCCCCGCTTGCAGCTCTGGCCCTCCTCCCGGGTTCTCCAAGGACTGACCGTTTCTATTGACTCATATTGAGTACTGAGCAAATAGGCGGTAACTACCAGGGCTGAGTGTCTTCCAGCCCGGGAGATGGGCAACTACAGGGTTGATCTGATCACCGTATCAGAGGCTTTCCAACCAGCTCTGTTCCCCGTCTCCCCACAGGTGTGGATACCCCCCAGGAGCTAGGGAACACACTCCCACAGGGCCCTACAAGCCTGGAGCCCCTGGCACCCCCAGAGAGCACGGAGGAGAGCGCTGAGACAGAGAGGTGTCCGCCACGTGGTGCCGGGAGGGCCTGGGCAGGGCAGGGGCCGTGTAGGGGCCAGGGCGGGAGCTTGGGGTTGCTGCTGCCGCCGCCGTTTGTGCCTGCTGGCCCCTCTCTTGTCTGCCCGTCTCTGGGCCTTCCCTCCATCCTTGCCTGCTCCCTTTCTTTCCCCTTTTCCTCCTCCTCCTCCCTTGTTCTCTGTTGCTCCCCCTTCTTTATCTCTATCCTCCGTTTAGGGCCTTCTCTCTGGCCAGGTTTCCCCCCCCCCCCCAGCTTCTCTTTTCATTCTCCATCCTCCCCCTCTTCCCATAAACTCCGCCTCCCTTGTGGCCCTGCTCCTGGTGTCCCTTGCCCTTTGTGCTCCATGCTGTGTCCTGGGGGCCTTGTCCCCCACACAGTTGGGGGGCAGGCTCTGCCCCCTGCCTGTCCTTGTGCTGCTGCTTTGGGGACCCCATGATGGGGATGGGGAGCCGGGTTGGGGCACACCTGGTCCACCTCTGACCCTGTGCCCTCTCTCCCCAGAAGGTGGAAGAGGTGGGTGCCTGGGCCCTGGGTGGGGGGAGGGCTGGCCCTCCCCCATCTCTCCCAGCCCCTCCCCCTCCCCATGGCCACCTCCTCCTCTTCACCCCCTGTGAGGGGAGGGGTGGGTAGGTATGTCACCCTCCTGATTGAGCTAAGTATGGAAATCCTTTCTCCTTGTCCCTTTTCCCCACCCCCACCTTAGGGAAGGGAGGGGGTCAGTCCCGGTCTGGCCACAATGGGTTTCCATCCCCCCACCAAGTTTCAGTCCCCTTCCTGGCCACTCCCACCCCCAGGTACCTCCCCAAGTCCTACTACTTCTGACTCTCTTCTCTCTTCTGTTGCTTGTTTCGTCACTGTCCTGTCTCCTGTCCCTGTCCTGGTCTCCCCTGTCCCTGTCCTGGTCTCCCCTGTCCCTGTCCTGGTCTCCCCTCTCCCTGTCCTGGTCTCCCCTCTCCCTGTCCTGGTCTCCCCT